GTGTGTGTGTGTGTGTGTGTGTGTGTGTGTGTGTGTGTGTGTGTGTGCGTGTGTGTGTGTGTGTCTTTGTGTGCGCTGGCCTTCTGCACCGATTTCTCATCTAGAGACCTACAAAAGCTACAGGGTTGAAACTTTAGGATCTTAATCTACATGCATGTACGGGCCCCCATCCCCAAAAAGGGCAGTCTTACCCGCGTGGCACCCACGTATCAGCCGGCCAAAGTTTTTTACAGGTAAGCTGCTAACTCGGAAACCAGAAAAGCTTGGGGGCTGAAATTTTAAGGGGATGTTCCCCGTCCAAGTAGGTATTAATGACCTAAAACTCAGCTCCGGGGTAAGTGTGGTACCCACGTACGGTCCCGCCAGAATTTTTTCGAGTAAGTTCATAACTCGGGGATCTGAGAAGCTAGAAAGCTGAAATCTGAAGGAGATGTTCGCCGTCCACGTAGGTATTAGTCAGCTCAAACCCAGAAACCGGGTATGCGTGTTACCCACGTACGGGTCCGTGAGATTTTTCTTCCAGTAAGTTGCTAACTCAGGAGCCAGGAAAGCTAGAAAGCTAAAATTTTGAGGGGGTGTTTCCTGCCAGTTCTGGCGGCCTGTCTTAATTTGTTTAGCTAGAAGCATCTGCCGGAAAAACTGGTGTCGGTAGCGACGAAAACTGCGGGGAACTATACGAAAAACGCACCTTCGAATTGGCAGCCCATACGTTGGCCAATTATTGCACTTGCATATATGCGAAGGCGTTTATGAAAAGCGAATACTACGATTTTCGCAACTCGAACCTTAACCGAGGAATCAGTGCATGTTGTGTGGCCGAGCCGAGCCGAGCCGAGTCGAGCCGAGCCGTGTTTTAGTAATATACGATTAATTGCTTGTTCGTGTACGCGAAGCGGTGTTTTGAATTTAAAGTGTGGGGGATGAGTGTAGTAGGGTTTGAGAAGGGTAGCGTTCCGGGACGAGGGATGAGAGGCGGTAGGGAAGGAGGAGGGGAGCAGGAGGGAGGAAGGAAGACCGGGCTGGTACTCAGTTAGTCGAGAACAGGCATCTTTTCTCAATTTTTCTTTGTTCCCGGGATTTTCTAAGCGTGGAAATGTTCGGGACAAGGTGATATTGCTCATCAACACATATCGAGGATACCTCGAAACCGCGAAGCCTTGCCAGCTACTTCTTCAGGGAGGACCGATGAGTGTTTTCAGGGGACAAAACGAGAAGGCGAGGATCACCGTCAGATTGATTAAGCCGGAAACGATGTAGCACTGGTCAAAGGAACTGGAAAGGGGTTGCCATCTTCACAGGCCAAGGTTCGGGCGGACGTGAATTACAGCTAAAACCGTTGTTCAAGTATCGCAAATGTGGCATTTTGAGGATGGAAGCAGCGATCAAGAGGGAGCTGGGCCTGAAGAAGCTGGAGCCATTCGGTGGCGCAGCCGGTGGATGTATCAGCCGAGGAGGCGGCTATCACACCGATCAACTCGGCGATCTCTTCATCAAGTTCAACGATCGTGAAAACGTAACTCTTTTTTTTTATGTGTTTTGTGCTGTGTAACGGCATTACAAAACGCATATTGTCACGGGGTTGCCTGTGTGTGTGTTTGTAAAGCGTAAAGAAAAAAAAAACATCAGCATATAAGACGTACGATCCGATGGTTCGGGGTCCGTGTATATCGTCCGACTGAGTGCCCTACGTCAGCTTTTCCAACTCCGTTCACCGACTGAGTGCCCTACATCAACTAATCTAGTCACTCTACCATCGGTGATTCGGCACTTGCTCATTTTGTCTCGTACCTTTGCCTCATATAATAAATCCTTTCTTTTCGCTGCTTTAGCCTGGCACCGTAATTGGTTCCTTCGGTTCATCGACACATTTATACGCGGCACCAAAGTAACTCTCTTTTAACTCATAAAAAAGGCTAAATGTAAAGCTTCGTTTTTGGCTTCGATATCCCTCTTTTTCCTGTTTTTTCCTCGCCTTTCCTCACTCCGATCTGCAGGGGATTTTTTCTTGCTATCCTAGCCCCACAAGTCCCATATTGCGCTATTTTTCAGGCCAAGCGTATGTTCGACGGCGAGTTCGCAAGTTTGCAGGCCATGTATCAAACAAAAACAATACGTGTTCCGAAGCCAATCAAGGTTTTTTTTTAAATCAGTACAAAAGGCAGTACGGGCCTAAAAGGCGCTGTGAAGAAAACAAGAAGAAGGGGCTGGAACAGCGGCCCAATAGCGAAGGGTATTTGACAGAGGAATCGCATAAATCGTACACGCAATAGGAAAATGCAAGGGTGGGGTGGTAATCGCCCAAGGTTTGTAGTGGTAATGAAAGAAAATAAAGAGGTCATATTGTTGTGACGAATATTTTTTTAAAAAAAATCAGGGTGGAATTTAAAAGAAGTCATGTGAAGAGCAGTAAGTGAATAAGCCCTTTTTTCTTAAAGCTCACTTAAATATTATGAGATCTGCGAAAGTGGTTATTTGGCGTTGACTCACATGCTTTTCTTTACTTTTGCAGTTTTTTCTACTGATAATTGTTTTAGAGTATATCCGACGGTGGCCGTCATTGCTTAGTCACCGAATATATTGATATGCATGGTCCTTCGAAACCGTCGCAACTCGGTAGAGATTTGGCGAGGTACAGTATTTCCTTTTTATGTGTTTTTTTTTTGCATCTATGCAACGCAGAAAACTCATATTGACGTGTGCCTATGTATTTATCTGTACCCATTTTTATGCGCTTTTGCATAATATGCAAAAACACATATTATGACGACCCCGGTGTGCGCGTGTGTGTGTGTCCGGGTATTTCAACTCGGCACCTAAGCAAGCTCCGGCGCCAAAATTTTGGGAATGGGTTCCCTGGCCAAGTGCCACCCCAGGACCGCGGTACCAGCCCTCAAGCACGTCTGGCTCCGCGTACGAGCGCCTCGAAGTTTTGGCGGGAAAATCGCTGACTCGAGAACCAGAAAAGCTCGGAAGCTGAAATTTCGGGATTATGTTTCCAGTCCAGGTAGAGCTCAAGCGTTTCAAATTCAACCCCCGGGGGCTCGTAGTTCCCGCCTACGGCCCCGTGAGGGTTCCTGGCGCGAAAATCACTAGCTCGGGAATCAAGAAAGCTGGAAGGTTAAATATTTCAGAAAATGTTCCCTACTCATCTACAACTTAAATTTATCAAATTCAGCCCCCCAATATGCGTGGTTGCCACGTACGACCCCATGAAATTTTCTGGCTGGAATTTGGGTAACTCGGGAACTGAGAAAGCTGGGAACCTGGTATTTCAAGGGAATGGTCCTTGTCCAAGTATAACGTGGGTAATTAACTCTCCGAAATTCGAGGACCAGCACGTACAAGAGGTTTCTAGCTTGCGGAATTTCGAGTGATCTTATTGCAGCACGAAACACTGCAAAAACGCATGATCGCACGGGCCCGCCAGCGCGCGTCGCCAATGATTTATATGACTAGCAGCTGTTTTTTTTTTTTGGTAAATTCGAAGATTGTATGTAATTCTTGTAGCAACTGTTATTTCACTGGAGCTAACAATCTTTCGAATTGTTCTGATCAATGCTACATTGATTGGTGTCCAGTACGCTGGTACTTCTGACATTCGTTTCATTCCCTGAAGAGATTATTACCTGTTCAGCGGTTTCCCGACAGAATCGCTTGGCAAAGCTTTAGCTGTTGCGAAATCTCGTCGATGTGTGTTGAGCATTACTGCCCCGTTTCGAACTTTGCCACTCCTATGCTATGGGTAAAATATCTTACGGGCTTTAATTCAAAGATTATCAATTAGAAATTCAGAGCAACCGCGTACCAAATCTCCCAACCCGAGAGCAGGTTGTTTTTGGGAAAGAGATCC